TATGCAAAGAGACAAGTTAAAAGCCCTCAGCAGCAGGGCATTGTCACAATATCCAGGGTCCAAAGGGGAATTTGGGGTCCCAGGAGGAGTGACCAGGTGTGTCAGGAGCTGCCACTGTGTGCATTCTGTCTCTGGAGCACAGAGGAGGGCTCCAGGCTGCTGCTGGATCACCAGGAGCTGTGGTGCCAGTGCAAAATAAATAATGAAATTCTCTGAGCATCCAGGCACTGGGGACTAAGGGAATATGGAAAATTTACAGCACATTCTGCACTGGCTCCCTCACAGTCCTCTCCAAATGTTAGAGGAACACAAACCCATCCTTCTCCAAGGGAAATCCCTTCACATCCACCAGGTCTGGAGGAACTGAGCAGGGCAGGGTGCTGCTTCCACCCCTTTGTGAAACACAACAGTGCCCTCCTGGACCAGTTCATGCCTGGAGTTTGGGCTCACCCAGCTGGAACTGCTGCCAGGGGATGGCCACGTACCTCTGGCTGTGTCACTCAATAAAATGGTCACATACCTCTGGCTGTGTCACTCAATAAACCCTGTGGGGACCCCAGCCCGTCCCACCTCTCTAATCCACCTGTGTCTCACCACACCTGGCTGAAACAACAGTGCTGTGACCCAGCCCTGGGTGTCACCCACCTCCTTGTGTCACCACCTCCTGTGCCATCACCCACCTCCTGGGTGTCACCTCCTGGGTGTCACCTCCTGTGCCAGCCCTGGGAAAGCCCCAGCCTGGTGTTTAAGGCCCGTCTGGTGGCCCTGGGGCACTGTGGGGTTGTGGTTGTGCTGGCACAGGTGGTGAAGGGCACCAGGGACATCACTGGTTCCTCTCCCTGGGCATTTCCTACCACTGCACTAATTGGAGGGGGACTGTCAAGCCCTGCAGACCTTCAGGTTGTCCCTGAAGGAGTCTCAGGGAGTTCTCACCACTCCATTACTCATCACCCCCCACCACAGTCAGCCCTGCACAATTCATTCCCTGGTCCTGGATCCCAAAGTGGTTCCCAGGGCTGTGCCTGGACCAGCCCGGGTAGGCAGGGACCTGTACACCAGCTGTGAACTTTACCCCTGTCCTTGTTCCAGACTCAAAGTGTTTTGGAACCAGAAACTGTTTTAGCTTTTTGGGGAACCACGATGGAGAGTAATCTGGGAGCTCTGAGCTAGAGACCAGCAGGTATTCCTGCTACAAACCTTTCAGTTGATTTTGTCCTCATTTCTGATTTTATTGGATTACTGTTCCTCCCCTAGAAACCTGCAGAGATGCTGAGCAGGCTGTGCAGTGAGGGCAGGGGACCTGCAGTCAGCAGCTCCCTGGCTGCCACGACCCTTGAGGGAGCTGTCAGGGACCTTTGGGGACCAACAGGAACCTCTAATTCCTGAGAGCAAATCAGTCAACCAAACCTCCCCCTGAATGCTGAGTTACCACCTCGTTTCAGACAGGACAGTTCAGGGAGGTGCTGTGCTGTTTATTATCTCCATGTCTGTCTGTGGTGGGGATTTTATTAAATTAGCACTTGATAGAATCATCTCATTCCACCCCCTGCCCTGGGCAGGGACACCTTCCACCAGCCCAGGTTGCTCCAAGCCCCGTCCAACCTGGCCTGAGACACTTCCAGGGATCCAGGGGCATCCTGACTGGGTCGGCTCCTCACCCACCCCAGGTGAGCTCCACACATCCAGCTGGCCACTGACACAGGGGGTGACCCCCCTCCTCCTGTCCCCTGCCCGTCCTTCCCAGAGCCACTCTCCTGCCACCTGCCAAGACATTACGATGAGAGAAGTGAGAGGAACTAAAATCATGAAGCTTCTCTGCTCTAATTCATTGTCCCCAGAGCTCTGCAGATGAAGGACAGTTAACAAAGCACCACTGTCCATGAACAGCAATAAAACCCAGTGGAAATGGGGTACTTGAACCCTGCACACTCGAGGCTTTGTCCGTGATGAAAGCCAAGCCTGTCCCTGACCATGCAGCAAAGCAATCACACACTGGAGAGTGTTTTCCTTTCAAACACACACTGAGAGCTCGGCTCAACACGAGCCCGAGGCTCCATCTCCACTCCAGGCACAGACTCAGCTCCTCTGTGTGCAGAGACATTCACTGAGGGCAGAGGATTCTCAGCAACTTCCACTTATCTCCCAAAGGTTTTTGAGATTTCATTTACTTTTCACAAAACGCCTGTTGAAATTATAGAATCATGGAAGAACGTAGAATGGTTGGGGTTGGGAGGGACCTTAAAGCTCATCTTGTTCCAACACCCTTCCATGGGCACAGAGCCTTCCTCCTTCCCTTCCTCCCCCTCAGAAAAGGGTTCTTGCACTCCGAAGACACAAAAACCACCAACTGAGCTAATAAAGAGTAGGTGTCTCCAGAGCTGGAGAAAAAGTAGGAAGTGCAGGAGCTGCAGTTTCCCACCACGTGTGGGTTATTAAGCTGACATTTTAACCACGCTGAAATATAAATCTCCCTGCTCAGCTGGCTAATGCCCCATTAGGCATGGGCCCCTGGCCAGGAATGGCCCAGTTGGTGATTCATTGACTCGGGGACATGTCCCTGGGCAGTTTGCTCCTGACCCAGCCATCATGTCCACCCAAGAAGCGGTGCAGCGAGTTCAAAACTGCCTCCCCCAGGGTATAAAACCATTATGGGAAACCCCAAGGAGCAGACAGATACATAGAACCACAGAATCATGGAATCCCAGAATGGTTTGGGAGGGAAGGGACCTTAAAGCTCATTCTGTTCCACCCCCTGCCATGGGCAAGGACACCTTCCACCAGCCCAGGTTGCTCCAAACCCCATATATTGACCAACTCAAATGGCAGCTCAGCTGTTCTCAGAGCTACCAACAGCAACGCACTCTCCTGACGCATTTTCCTTCTCACAGCTCCCTCTCCTATTAGAAACCACATGGCTGTTCTGAGCAAATACTCTTTCTTTTGCTAAGGAAGCCAGTGCAAACACAAATGTTCTGAGGACGTTAAAAAAACCCAACGACACGAGCAGCTTTTGTACCCGGCTCTGTTATCTCCACTGGGAGAAAAACAGCCTTTAATGAACAGACTTTCATTTCCCCTGTGCCCATCACAGGGTGCCTCCTTTGATCAAATCAGAGGAAAATAAAAAAAAAACCAGAAGAAACGCATTGAGAGTGTTAAGAACGTTTGGGGGTTCTGATCTGAAATCATAAATCTCTGTCTTTCCCTTTTTTTGAAGTTGTTACTGGGATGGCTGGAGCAGAGCAGGGATTGGTTTCTGTGTCAGTCACCTCCTGCGTCATTCAGGTGTGAACACCCCTGGTCCCAGAGAGCAGAGCACCTGAGGCTCCTGCTCTCCATCAAGGAGATTGAGTTTGATCCACCAGCTCCCATCCTGACGCAGGGCACAACATTCTGTGGAGCCCATATCCAGGGAGAGCCATTCCCTGACACCTTGGGGTCACCAGCCACTCCAGACGTTTGAATTCAGTTCGGCAGTCATGGTTTAGGGGATATGCTTCCCTCAAATATGGGACAATAAAGCCTTTCCTGACCTCCCAGAGTTCTTCAGCAGGGAAACACCTTCAGCAGGGAAACAAACACCTTCAGCAGCAAGAGGTGCTGGGGTCCCTCAGCAATGAAGGCAGGACAGGCCACCCATCGTCTGTGCTGTGGTGAGCAGTGAGTTGCCCATCCAGCCATGGCTGATGTGCCAGGCTCTGGTCTGGTGACTGACGGGGTGTTCAGAGTCTGGGCACTGAGAGAACAGGTGAAGGAACAGGCAGAAACGAGTCTGTAGGACAGCAAACACAACCAACAGCAGCAGGTGACAGTGAGTCAGGAGGTGTAGGAGCCTCGATGCTCCTCAGCTGAACCTGCGCGGTCTCTGACGATGGAGCATCCATGGGAAGCGGCTCCAGGAGAAACAAACAGCAGTGAAAGTGCTGATGACCCAAGCCCCAGAAATCCCACCACCCTCAACTTGTCCTGAACCCCTTGGGCAAACCTCGGGTGAGAAGTGCTGCAGCTCTTGGTGCTGCTTTCCAAACCCTGTCCCGTGTCCCCCTTCCCTTGCTCAGCACCTGCCCCCACAGCCGGGACAGGGACACTCCCCCGCGGGGCAGAGGAGACGGAGGACACGCTCCCGGATCTGCCTGGTCTTCACCCCGTAGACAATGGGGTTGAGCATGGGCGGGACCACGACGTAGAGGTTGGCCAGGAGGATGTGGACACGACTGGGGATGTGGTGGCCGAAGCGATGCGTGAGAAAGGAGAAGAAGGCGGGCACGTAGAACATGAGGATCACGCAGAGGTGGGAGCCGCAGGTGCTCAGGGTTTTGAGCCGAGCCTCCGGGGACGGGAGCCGGAACACGGCCCGGAGGATGAGCACGTAGGACACGGCGATGAGCACGACGTCCAGCCCCGAGGAGAGCAGCGCCGTCGTCAGCCCGTACCACACGTTGGCTCTGATGTCGGCGCAGGCCAGGCGGGCGATGCCCATGTGCTCGCAGTAGGTGTGGGGCATCACGTTGTGCCCGCAGTAGGGCAGCCGCTTCAGCAGGAAGATGGGCGGGAACATGATGCAGAAGCCCCGGACGACGGCGGTCAGGGCGATCTTCCCGATCACCGAGGGCGTCAGGATGGACGAGTAGCGCAGCGGGTCACACACGGCCACGTAGCGGTCGAAGGCCATGGCCAGCAGGACAGAGGATTCCACGATGAAGCTGAAATGGGTGAAGAACATCTGTGTGATGCAGGCATCAAAGGAAATCTCCCTGGCGCTGAACCAGAAGATGGCCAGCATTTTGGGCACCGTGGTGGTGGACAGCATGAGATCAGAGACGGCCAGCATGGCGAGGAACAGGTACATGGGCTCGTGGAGGCTCCGGTCCGTGCTGATGACGAAGAGAAGGACCGAGTTGCTGAACACTGCAGTGAGGTACATCAGGCAGAAGGGGACGGAGATCCAGATGTGGGACTCCTCCATGCCTGGGATGCCTGTCAGGACGAAGGTGATGGGGTCGAAGCTGCTGTCGTTGAGCTCGTACATGGCGCTTCGGTCCTCGGTGTCAGCCTGGCTCGGCTCTGCGCAGGAAAGAGATGGGATAAACAGTGCCTGCTGAGCCTGGATTTGCCAACAACCCCCTACAGATGTTACAAATCAGGGCACAAGGCACCTACCTTCCACTCTGAGGGGTTCCCTCACTGTGCTTTGCTGTACGAAGCACCTTGTTTGTTCTATCAGCGCTACAAACTGTGTCTGTAAGGAAAACATCTTCTCTGTGCCTCCATCGCCACCACAAACCAGGTCAGGCCCTTTCCTAGCTCAGCTTTATCCACTGTCCCACAAAGATTGCAAAAGTCATAAAAATAGTCATAAAAGTCACCGTCAGCCTTGTCACGATGGGTGGCTGCATCTGTGAGCACACAGAGCCGTGTCTGTGGTGGGACTGTGTGTTCCTCCAGGGAGCTGAAATGACACAATTCCTCACCCCGCTCAGATCAGTGACTGATTCTCCAAGAGCTCCTTGCACAAACCACAAATACAGGGATGAATCCTGCCACAGTGCCAACACTGGGAAGTGTCTGCAGTGTGACTTACACCCAACTGCACCTCTGAGGGCTGTGGCCATCCCTGACACTTCTCTCTTGGAGACCCTTTAGGCACTGGAAGAGACTGAAGTCTCCCCGGAGCCTTCCCTTCTCCAGGCTGAACACCCCCAGCTCTCCCAGCCTGGCTCCAGAGCAGAGGGGCTCCGGCCCTTTCTTTTCCTGCCTTTTCCTTCCTTCCTTTTCCGCTCCTTCATAAAGAGGGGCAAAGACATGGTGGGCTGCACAGAGTGATCCTTGGACAAAGAAATGCTGGCCCAAAGCAGAAACACCCCAGAGAGACACCCCGAGTGCAGAGTTCTGCCCCGATGTCAGCCCGTGGCACCTCCCAGCCTCTGAACTCGGTTTCACAGTTCCTGAAGTGCCGGGGCAGCCTGAGCTCGGAGCTGGATGTTTGGAGCTGGGAATATCATCCCTGAGCTGGGAACATCATCCCTGAGCTGGGAACATCATCCCTGAGCTGGGAACATCATCCCTGAGCTGGGGGCTCCCTCCCATAACTGATCAGCCTGCGGGTATTTTTGCGCATTTGAATAACGCAAACAAGCCAAGCTGTGGCTCCGCGGAGGCTTTACCATGAGAAGGGCTCTGAGGAGAAGGAGCACCACAGGACCGATGGGTTTATGTGCTTTCCCCCATTTTAGCCCCCCAGCCCCCATGTAAGCTCCATCATACGCTAGAAAAACTCCAGGCCAGGGTTGGGATTGAAGGAAAAACAGATGGATTCGGACCAAAGCTAAACCTTCCCTGTTTGCAGCCTGGTTTACTTTCATTGCAAACGGCAGATACACAAGTCAGACGTGTTTGCATTTCTAAGCACTTCCATTAAGGAGGATTCTCGGCCTCCCTGAACCCAAAGTCCACTGAAAACATTGCTCGGTACAGAAAAGACCTTTAGCTCAACGCAAATATTTATCCAGTCTCCTCTTCCACTTGCAAGCCCACGTCACCCAGGTGAATCGAGCCGGGCTGGGTCTAGAACTGGGGATTAAATCCGCCTGGGAACGTTCCCAGGTTCCAATGCCAGCCGGTGAGATTCCGTGTGGGCTGCAAAGCGCCTTCCACCTCCACTTCCCAGCTTATGGAAATCTATTCCTCTCACACGCCGCTTTTCTTCCCTTCGGTCTTTTCAAACAGAATCACTGCCCCAGATCCCAGCGCTTGATATAAAACGACTCACCAGGAGGACCGGCCCCAATGTGGGGAGAGGAAGCGCAGCCCCGGGCGGTGCGGAGCTCGGGGCAGCCCAAATCCCCGCCGTGCTGCCAGGAAGGGGAAGGCCGGCCCTCCCCCCCCCCGGCCTCGGAGGGAGCATCAGCCCCTGCACCTGGGGAAGTTTAAACTGCCGATGCATTAACCATTAACAGCAGTTAACACTCCCGGGTGAGGCATTTCCTGCTTTTCCAGCATTTGCATTGCAAGTGATTTTCCTCCCTCCCGGCCGTGAGGACCTGCGGGGGCTCAGCCCGAGCCCTCCCGGCAGCATCAGCATCGCGGATCTTTGGGAGTCTTTCGTCTGCAACGGGGGAAAATTGCCTCGATCCACTGCTGAAACCTCCCAAAACAACCCCCTCGTGCTGCCACAGGGGAGAGGATTCTCTGCCACCCGACCCCGGCCCGTGGGCACTGAGCTAAAACCATGAGTATGATGTGAAGATCATTGATCAAATCAACAATCTACAAAATCGTGATTTGCAGGAAATTCTTGGCTGTGAGAGGGGTGAGGCCCTGGCCCAGGGTGCCCAGAGAAGCTGTGGCTGCCCCTGGATCCCTGGA